GAACTGTGGTGGTAGGTATTTGAGAACTGTGGGGGTAGATATTTGAGAAATGTGGCCGTTAATAAACTGTCGTTGTACAAATGCACGTGACAAAAATAAAAGGCTATTTTAGTCTCAGTAACTTGAAGAGTGTTCATAAATTATAGGGTTAATGTTATAGGGTTAACGTTATAGGGTTAACGTTATAGTTTTCTAGTGGCGGTTTAATGTTACAGTTTCCCGATATAAGATGAAGGAGTTACATTTTCCCGATATAAGATGAATGGGTTACAGTTTCCGGTGTAAAATGAAGGCTTAACTAATGTTTCGCTAGATTCGCCTGTGTAGCAATAGCCCCTTTGGACGCTTGGTGCGATGTTTTCACGTTTCTCGCTAGCGACGAGATGGGACGAGAGGGGACGAGAGGGGAGCTAACTCGGTCCTCAGGATGAGGGTTCGGAGGTATTGAGGCCGATGATAATAAGGACGAGCCCAAAAGCCGTATTGTGTGGGTCGCCTGGCTCGGCTCGTGAATGGCTATCCCTTTGACAAGTCTCCCCCAGACAACAAGAAAATTGTATGGCACACATTGGCCCCAGGCACCTTCCGCGGGACGCCCACTGAGACATGTGCCCAATTCTCGAGGAGGGAAACTTGATGGTGTTACTTTACGTCGGCGGCTTTATACATGCGTGTGACAGACGGCGGCTTGATACATGCGTGTGACAGACGGCGGCTGGATACATGCGTGTGACAGACTGCGGCTGGATACATGCGTGTGACAGACGGCGGCTTGATACATGCGTGTGACAGACGGCGGCTTGATACATGCGTGTGACAGACGGCGGCTGGATACATGCGTGTGACAGACGGCGGCTTGATACATGCGTGTGACAGACGGCGGCTTGATACATGCGTGTGACAGACGGCGGCTTGATACATGCGTGTGACAGACGGCGGCTTGATACATGCGTGTGACAGACGGCGGCTTGATACATGCGTGTGACAGACGGCGGCTTGATACATGCGTGTGACAGACGGCGGCTTGATACATGCGTATGACACACTGCGGCTGGATACATGAGTGTGACAGTCATGCGTGTGATGCTGTTTCATGTTAGTTTGCAGCTTGATACAAGCTGGATGCATGCATAGAATGGGCTGTATTTTGTTTACCATACAATAAGTATCAGTGTACAGTCTGTATTGTGCTTACCATACAATAGGTATCATTGTACAGTCTGTATTGTGCTTACCATACAATAGGTATCATTGTACAGTCTGTATTGTGCTTACCATACAATAAGTATCATTGTACAGTCTGTATTGTTCTTACCATATCATTGTACAGTCTGTATTGTGCTTACCATACAATAAGTATCATTGTACAGTCTGTATTGTTCTTACCATATCATTGTACAGTCTGTATTGTGCTTACCATACAATAGGTATCATTGTACAGTCTGTATTGTGCTTACCATACAATAGGTATCATTGTACAGTCTGTATTGTGCTTACCATACAATAAGTATCAGTGTACAGTCTGTATTGTGCTTACCATACAATAAGTATCATTGTACAGTCTGTATTGTGCTTACCATATCATTGTACAGTCTGTATTGTGCTTACCATACAATAGGTATCATTGTACAGTCTGTATTGTGCTTACCATACAATAAGTATCATTGTACAGTCTGTATTGTGCTTACCGTATCATTGTACAATCTGTATTGTGCTTACCATACAATAGGTATCATTGTACAGTCTGTATTGTGCTTACCATACAATAGGTATCATTGTACAGTCTGTATTGTGCTTACCGTATCATTGTACAGTCTGTATTGTGCTTACCATACAATAGGTATCATTGTACAGTCTGTATTGTGCTTACCATACAATAAGTATCAGTGTACAGTCTGTATTGTGCTTACCATACAATAAGTATCATTGTACAGTCTGTATTGTGCTTACCATATCATTGTACAGTCTGTATTGTGCTTACCATACAATAGGTATCATTGTACAGTCTGTATTGTGCTTACCATACAATAAGTATCATTGTACAGTCTGTATTGTGCTTACCGTATCATTGTACAATCTGTATTGTGCTTACCATACAATAGGTATCATTGTACAGTCTGTATTGTGCTTACCATACAATAGGTATCATTGTACAGTCTGTATTGTGCTTACCGTATCATTGTACAGTCTGTATTGTGCTTACCATACAATAGGTATCATTCTACAGTCTGTCTTGTGCTTACCATTCTAGATTCTCGATTGCCCTAACGAGGACATGGACATACAGCTTGAGCTTCTTTGCGTGAGTGGTCTACCCATGAACAAACCAAATATGGGAAGATTTTGAACAAATGTCATTTTCCTGTAGCTAAACTGGTCGTTGACTGTGTAAGGGAAGTAACTAGGGAAGAGGCTTCTGGCGTAAGACGGCTAATCTAACGGGCAGGCTGAGCGGCGCGTGCGTGTGAATGGGATCAGCCAACAGGAGGCAGCGAGCAACAGAAAGCAATCGAGTTTGTGAGGAGACGTTCACAATCTGGCTGGGACGAAAGCAAATTCGTGTTTCTATTCTCAGGGGGACTTGTAGGTTCAGATCAAACCGATGGCTTCTCTCCCTTAGACGGCCGCTCGGGGCTGATAGAAGCCGCGGTACACGTCCTGCAGCTTGCCCATACAGCCCTCGCTAGCGCCCCCATGGGAATTCTTTTCATCCAGGAATTCGCTAATAACTCGGGCAAACACCAGCAGCCAATGAGAGTATCGTCCCCTTGCTCCACACAGTGGTAGCCTCCCCTGCCCATACAGCCCGCTGGGTGGCAATGGTTTCTATAAACCCAATAACGCCAGCGAATTGGGACCAGTTAAGAGGAATCGTTGGCTGAACAAACACTCAAGCAGCCCTCTCCCATGACAAGAGGCCGACTGAGTGTGGGGAATATTTGACTCGTGGTTTGCACCCAAATACCAGATCTGACCTTTGAAAAAAAAAACTGGCACGCCGCAGCCGCTCCCCGTCACTTCGCCCCGCGGCCCTTTGTTTTGGGCGCGTTTGCCGGCGCCCTCAGCATTTTGAGCGGCACATCCCTGCCTTTGATCTCTGGCGGTGAATAAGACGAAATTTACTTTTACAATCGACGCTGGGGAGCCCAGCTGACAGACAGCGAGCAATCGTTATCAGGCGAGTCGCGGTCACATCCATGTGTGGCGCACACATTCTACCGCATCACGTGACGGTAATAGCCGTTCTTGCCTGCCACGACATGCGGCTGTCACACCCGATTAACTATCTAAACGTACCAAACTTTGCTTACCAGAATATATATATATATATATATATATATATATATATATATATATATATATATATATATATATATTCCACTGTAACAACATGAATTCTTTGTTGTTATTGTGGGTTCTTCAATATACTCATACGAGCAACAGTAGTTGTGAAACAATAACTTTATTTACACTTTGTACAGAGAATTAATAGACCCATAGTAAATCCATGGTCACAACTGGTATAAGTACAATCACAGTCAAGAAACAAAGTGTCGTAGTAACATCCTACATTCACAGCCACAGTCCTCAGGTTCAAGTTCTAGCACACAACACCCGTTCACCTTTTTGCTCTTCTTTTATTCACCACTTTCTCTCCCCTTACGTACCTGAGCGATCTCACCCAAAAGCATGAAACAACACATGACGATCGCTCAGACAGTCCTTCCGCTAGCCAGGTACTCTTCATTCATGCAAAACACAATATAATAAGGATACATAATTATACAGTCTGTGACACGTCCCCCCTTCAATTAAAATTTTGTGTAACAAAATTTATAAATACAATATTGGTAGGGCAGGATCATGTGCCAGACAACAAAATTTTTATACATCTCAAAAAACATGGAAAAATACATTCTTTGTAGACTAATGCACAAGCATTATGTGTAATGTATTCAAATATGAGAAAGAAAAACATTTCAATTACCAAGTAATTGTATAAACAAGACAAATGAGTTTAGTGAATTACCAAACTATAATACATAGTTGAAATTATCAAAGACTTAATTCAACTCATGAATTAAATAATTATATCCTATGTGGTAAAAAAAACTTCCTTAGCATCAAGGCATGTTATTACGACGCATGATTAATATACTTTGTTGTCTCCCCTAGTTGACCCATTTCAGACAAATCTAGGTCACAACACAACAACATTGCCTTTCACAGGTATGGCTAACACACAATTCATCATTGAGACTTCCGTCTTATTGTTATGCGGAATAATAGTCTCTAACTTTTACTTGATTTACTTTATTCACTGTTAATTAATAGTATAGAATAGGTTTAACATAATACAGTTTACAATCTTTTGAAATAGTACACAATTTATATTACTGATACAAATTGTTTGATATTTATATATTACAGTTACAGACTGTATAATATTAATAAACTGTAAATTGATAATTTAATCTTAGCACCCTCTATAGCATGAGTAATCGTTCTCGTGCAGTTGACGATGACCTGTATGCCATCTCTCCCTCAAATTGTAGCTTTTAGCTGTGCTACCATAATCATTTCCTAGATTTCGTGTAACTTGTGTTACTTCATTTGTTTTAATATTCTCCTCTGGTTTCTGAACAACGTCAGTGGTTATCTTGCTTTGTGTATGTTGGTTTGGTTCATCAACCAACTCAATATAAATATTATGGCATTGCTTTGGCCTCTCATAATATGTGTTGCGTCGGTAACTTCCATTAGTATACCTATTCACACTTTTGTTATTCTGATTTGAAGGCATATATATATATATATATATATATATATATATATATATATATATATATATATATATATATATATATATATATATATATATATATATATATATATATATATATATATATATATATATATATATATTCCACATTTAAAGATTTCAATATCATATTATATAGAGCTGGCTTTAAAAAGCACGTCAGTATATTATGACTTACTTATATAGAGCACCCGTCCAAAGACGTCAGTGTTGTTTGTGGTCGAACAGTTCCATCGACGGTCTCTGAACTGGAACTGACATTCGTCGATACCCATGGCGGCGCCGGTCCTGATGACGTCCAGCAGCTTGCCGTCGTTGCTGCAGATGTCCCGCTGGTGAGGCTCCAGGAACTGCAGGTTGGAGCAGGCGTGCTGCGGTTTGTGTCTCACCTCGTCTGCCAGAATTTGGTAGGAGCTCGCCACACCTAGATACCTGCAACACAGTCAGGTGCTCAATACACATGTTCAGCTATAGAGGAGGCCAATATTCAGATATAAGGGAATTAGCCTACATGTTCAAATATAGGCGAGGTGCAGGTTCAAATATAAGGGAGGTGCAGGTTCAAATATAAGGGAGGTGCATGATAAAATGTTGGGGAGGTAAACGTTGAAACTTTTTTCTTAGGCCGCAGTGTCTGGATGGGAACAGGGCATTACCCCCCGGGCGTCCCACTCCCCCCCCCCCCCCACCGCATAGTAGGACATTACCCCCCCCCCCCCCGGTCACAGCTTAAGGTTCAGCTAGGGTTAGAGCTAGGGTTAAGGCTAGGGTTAGGGCTAGGGCTGGGGTTAGGATTAGGGTTAGGCTTAAATCAATGTCTAGAGTTGGGTTTGGTTTTGGGTTAATTTTAGGGTGAGGCGAATTCTTAGATTTTTCGTCTTTGTCTTAAGGTTAGGATTAAAGTAATATATAAGTATAGAGTTGGAGTTAGAATCAGGATTCTATTTTGGAGGATGGGAGGGGGTAATTCCCTAGGGGGTAATTGACAGGGGGGTAATTGCTCCGGGGGGATGTACGGGGGGTAATGTCCTGTAGCCGTCTGAATATATGTAAGTCTGTCTGTAGATGTGTCTGAAAGGTTTCATATGTATGTTTGTCTGAGACAAAATACCTAAAACAAAATTTCAAGAACAAATAATCGCAGCATTTTTTTACACATGTTTTATTAATGTGCCAAAACAGCCTGAGAAAAAAAGCTGCAACAATATACTATACTAGCCGTCCCTGCTCTGGCTTCTGTGAAAAACCTTTCTGTTAAAGACCATTACCGGTGTGTTTAGTAATCATCATAAACCCGGCACTGCCCACCCAAACCACAACCAACCAAAACCAAAACAACTAAACGCAAACATAACGCTAACACTATTACAAATACAAACGAAAACAAAAACCTAACAACAAACCCAACCACAAACACCAATACAAACACAAAGAAAAAAAAACAAAAAAGCAAACAAAAACCTAACAACAAACCCAACCACAACAACAAACACCAATACGAACACAAAGAAAAAAAAAAACGAAAAAGCAAACGAAAACAAACCAAATCAGAACGCAAAACCAACCACAAACACAAACCCAAAGAAAAAAACACAAACGAAAAAGCAAACGAAAACAAAACAAATCTAAACGCAAAACAAACCACAAACACAAATACAAACATAAACCCAAAGAAAAAAAACACAAACGAAAACGAAAAAAGAACGAACAAAAACAAACCAAATCAAAATGCAACCACTAACGCAAACCCAACCTAAACACAAAGAAAACACAAACGCGAACATAAACGCAAAGTGCTCACAGTCTAGCCCGGGGCAGAATCGCCTGTTTCAGCTTAATAAACGACTATAGTACCCCAACTTATTCACAGTCTTTTGCACTCACTTAAACGAACGCGCCTGTTTCAATTTAATAAACAATTTTAATACTCCAAGCTTATCCGTAAAATACCTACAACATTTGCACTTGATCAATCCCCGCTAATTATGTAATTATTTTTTTTCCCAACACCAAAACAAAGTAATTAAAAAGTAAATTATTTTCACGGAATGCAATGGTTTTATAAAGGGAAGTAATTGTGTTTTTCCTAATTTATCAAAGGGAAGTAAGTGCTATAGGACTAAATAAAGACATAATTAGAATTTTTGTAAAAGATGATATTTTTTTTAAAACTTGTGTTTAATGAACATGCCGACAATTATTACTATAATTTGAAAAATGAAAATTATTTCCCAACACTTTCAATGGTAATTTTTTAGCTCATAAATTTAGACAAATGCGCACGATAATTTTCTAACACTTAAATTCGTACAATTCCAACGACATACAAATGCATTACATACAGAACTGAGCTTTATATATTAGATTATACAGCGCGACACATCGACTGAGGAATATATATATATATATATATATATATATATATATATATATATATATATATATATATATATATATATATATATATATACATATATATATATATATATATACATATATATATATATATATATACATATATATATATATATATATACATATATATATACATATATACACATATATATATACATATATACACATATATATACATATATACATATATATACATATATACATATATATACATATATACATATATATACATATATACATATATATACATATATATATATATATATATATATACATATATATATATACATACATATATATATATATATACATACATATATATATATATACACATATACATATATATATACATACATATATACATATATATATATATACATATATATATACATACATATATATATATATATATATATACATATATATATATATATATACATATATATATATATATATATATATATATATATATATATATATATATATATATATATATATATATATATATATATATATATATATATATATATATATATATATATATATATATATATATATATATATATATATATATATATATATATATATATATATATATATATATATATATATATATATATATATATATATATATATATATATATATATATATATATATATATATATATATATATATATATATATATATATATATATATATATATATATATATATATATATATATATATATGCTTTAACTGTGCTACGGTGGGTGTGCTTGTAGCTGTGCTACGGTGGGTGTGTTTCTAGCTGTGCTACGGTGGGTGTGCTTGTAGCTGTGTTACGGTGGGTGTGCTTCTAGCTGTGTTGTGATGGTTGTGCTTCTAACTGTGCTACGGTGGTTTAGGTGTACTGCTATGATCTGGCTAATGAAATCCACACGGATAAGAAAAAACAGATGTTGCTGTGCGAGACAATGTGCCGAAACGTTCATATGAACAATAGTTCAACTTTCGTTTTTGGTTGTGTTAAAACGCACAGGGCAGATAAGCAGATGGTAGCCCGTATTGTATGCACCTGGTTTATCTCATCTACGCCACTCGCAATATTTTAGCCTGTTCTTTTTTAAACTGATCAAACGAAAGTAAACGCCAGTTATTTCCCTTTCAGCCATTCTTCTCCGCGTATCTGTGTGGTTATTTATCGGCAGGTGTCTTCGGTCCGTCTACCTTCATCAAAATGCCAACTGAACTAGGCAGTCAAAACACGACGGGGGGAGATAAAAAGGGGCGGGGATGGGGGAGAAATACGGAAACAGAGATGTCTAGTACACGAAAATAAGCTGGGAAATTTCACTCACTGTTCAGTAACCGGTGAATGCGGTAAGTGTTCAGGTAATGTTGACCGCAGCAAGTAGGTATGGTAAGTGTTCAGGTAATGTTGACCGCAGCAAGTAGGTATGGTAAGTGTTCAGGTAATGTTGACCGCAGCAAGAAGGTATGGTAAGTGTTCAGGTAATGTTGATCGCAGCAAGTAGGTATGGTAAGTGTTCAGGTAATGTTGACCGCAGCAAGTAGGTATGCCTAGAGTTCTCTGCCTGTGTAAGTGTTCAGGTAATGTTGACCGCAGCAAGAAGGTATGGTAAGTGTTCAGGTAATGTTGACCGCAGCAAGAAGGTATGGTAAGTGTTCAGGTAATGTTGACCGCAGCAAGAAGGTATGCCTAGAGTTCTCTGCCTGTGTAAGTGTTCAGGTAATGTTGACCGCAGCAAGAAGGTATGGTAAGTGTTCAGGTAATGTTGACCGCAGCAAGAAGGTATGGTAAGTGTTCAGGTAATGTTGACCGCAGCAAGAAGGTATGCCTAGAGTTCTCTGCCTGTGTAAGTGTTCAGGTAATGTTGACCGCAGCAAGAAGGTATGGTAAGTGTTCAGGTAATGTTGACCGCAGCAAGAAGGTATGGTAAGTGTTCAGGTAATGTTGACCGCAGCAAGTAGGTATGCCTAGAGTTCTCTGCCTGTGTAAGTGTTCAGGTAATGTTGACCGCAGCAAGAAGGTATGGTAAGTGTTCAGGTAATGTTGACCGCAGCAAGAAGGTATGGTAAGTGTTCAGGTAATGTTGACCGCAGCAAGTAGGTATGATAAGTGTTCAGGTAATGTTGACCGCAGCAAGTAGGTATGGTAAGTGTTCAGGTAATGTTGACCGCAGCAAGTAGGTATGGTAAGTGTTCAGGTAATGTTGACCGCAGCAAGTAGGTAAGCCTAGAGGTCTCTGCCTATGCACGTTTGGGTGTAACATTGTGTTTGTATATGTGCATATATAGGTGTGTGCATGTGCGTGTTTGGTTGTTTGTTTATAAATGGGTGTGTGCTATTATGGCCAACTGTTAAGGCCATGCCATTATGGCCAACTGTTAAGGCCATGCCATTATGGCCAACTGTTAAGGCCATGCCATTATGGCCAACTGTTAAGGCCATGCCATTATGGCCAACTGTTAAGGCCATGCCATTATGGCCAACTGTTAAGGCCATGCCATTATGGCCAACTGTTAAGGCCATGCCATTATGGCCAACTGTTAAGGCCATGTCATTATGGCCAACTGTTAAGGCCATGCCATTATGGCCAACTGTTAAGGCCATGCCATTATGGCCAACTGTTAAGGCCATGCCATTATGGCCAACTGTTAAGGCCATGCCATTATGGCCAACTGTTAAGGCCATGCCATTATGGCCAACTGTTAAGGCCATGCCGTTATGGCCAACTGTTAAGGCCATAATATTATTACTTTTGTTGTTTAACTAGGTTCATCTAAGTTTTGTGGCTGCCGGGTAAGGTTTAGGACCGCGATACTATAATTGCGGTCTCATGTTAAGATCTGCGTGTGTCGGGTAGCCGCGATCGTGCTTTGTGTCGACTATAAAACTGTATGGACAGACATCGGATATAAGCAGAGGCGTAGCGACCCTTCCCGGCGCCCGGGGCGAACTTTCAATTTGGCGCCCCCCCCCCCCCCCCGCTTATATATATATATATATATATA